ATATCTGACCTATATAAACTGGCCAATAGGTTTAACCTTAAACGCAATTGTCTATTGCTAATCACCTTATAGATCTAGGAGGCTATTGAATTTAAATCCTGTTTTATATTTTTCTTTTCTATTCTTTCTTCTTATTTCTTTTAAATAAAAGATCTTCCACTTGGCACTCATATCTTTTAAAATTTGCTATAGTTTGCTAGTTTTTAGTAAATTTTATTACAATTTGGCGATGACAACAGGACCTATCTTTCTAATTTAAGGAAAATATTTAGTATATATGAGCATAGCTTTACCTCGAATTGCAATATTTGGGAACCAGATTATTCTTTTGCATAAACAAGAGAACCATTAGCTTTATTTTCTTCTTCTTCTTCTTCTCTTTCTGTTTCTTCTTCTTGTTTTTCTTCTTCTTCCATTATTTTAAATTCTAGGTCTCAGGAACAACTAATTGGATAATCTTTAAAATTTATGAGAAAATACTATTAATCAATTTGACTATATTATAAATAACAATGATATGATGAACAATGATAATAGTTTAGATAATCTATATATTAATAATGGTTCTTCTTTTAATGATCTTCCTCCTAATGATCAGGATATAGGAGCTGGTGTTCACTTTGCACTAAATCTCTATACATATTCTTCAATATATCAGTCTCCTAAAATAGTACCTCACATTCACCTTCTATGCCTTCAATTTCAACAAATATTCCATTTATATTAACTTCAACTTCAACAAATATTCTACTGATAAGTTCATCATTATCAGCTAATAAGGATAAACAATCATCTATTAAATTAGATGACTCATCTCCTTTTAATTTTGAAGGCCTACCTAAGAAAACAATACCTAATGATCCTCAAGTTCAACAAGTTCTCTATCACTTTAACTGTTTAGTTAAAGCTATGGAAAAAAAACAATCTCAATCTTCCAAGAAAACTTTTCTTGTCCAAATTCCTGTCTTTAAAGGAGGAGAACAGGATCCTATATATTGGCTAAATGAATTTGCAACTGCATATTCTGTTAATAATATCCAGGAACCCCGAATATTAATTATTATTTCTGCTTATCTAAAAGGATCAGCACAGTCCTGGTGGAAGACTATTGCTAATAAAGTTCAGTATTGAAGGAATGATTTAAGGCCAGCTCAATCTTTCATCTATTTATTTCAACTTCAATTTTGCACTATCCATCAAAAATCTCGATGGCTTGCTGATCTCTGATCTCGAGTTCAACAATCTGATGAAACTGTTAAGGATTATTATGCTGAATTAGAATATCTATATCAAAAAATTGATCCAAATAATCGATATCTATTAGAGGATAAACTACAGCAATTTATTGATGAACTAAGGAGTGAAATTCAGAAATCAGTTAAAATTTCTTGCCCTATTACTATAGCTCAGGCCTTAATTCGTACCAAAGCTGCTGAAGCTGCTTTTTCTTGAGGAATGCCTCTTGGTTCTTATTCTCTAAATAGAGGATATCTTAACCATTACTCTCCTTCTTTCTATCATTCTGGTAATACTATTTCTATTAATAACCAGCCTAATAATGAAGTTTCTCAAGCTGTTCAGACTATTTTAAACTATTTTAAACAGCAACTCCAGCTAAAATCAAATACTTCTTGAAATAATAACAACAATAACTATCGTAACAACAATAACAATAATCAAAATAATGGTTCTTCTCAACAAAATACTATTGTTTGTCAAATTTGTAATAAACAGGGCTATAGTATACATAATTGCTATCAAAGGAATAACAATAATAATTTTGGCAATAATAATCAAAAGAAAGAAAATTTTCAATATAATAATAATACCAAACTAACAATAATAATTATCAACCATCAAAAAATAACTTTCAATCACAATCATTTCCAAATAAACAAAAACCTCAATCTACATATTATATCCTTTCTGTTGAGAAGTTACAAAACTTTGTTCAAAACTCAGCACAGTTTTTAAACTCCTAAAGGCACACTGTAAAGGCAGTAGTGTCTATCAATCAATCTCTTCTTCTAA